TTCGGGTTAAATATTTCCCCCAAGTATCAGACTAATAAAAGCATATCAAATATTAATACACATGATGGGTCAACACTTTCTAACTGAAGACCAAACTCGTTTCGGCCTCACAGGGCCTTCCTCAGTGGTCACTATTACAACATAGTAGACACACATTCAAACATATGTATACAAGATCTTTAGTACACTTATATAAAGACCAGATGTTGTATCCTGAAATTATAAAAATGGGGGGGGGAGGGAAAAAGAAACTCAAACTATTATTTCAAATGTATACTAAATCCTTATTAATTTCAACAAATGATTTTTTCAAACTAGAATTACCTTATATGTTTGTAATTGTGTTACTGGTATTAATGATGGGCCATAGGTATAGCCATATCCATTCCAATTATTCTAAATAAAAACCATGAAATGAAATAGTGAAATTATTATATATTATATATGCCACTGGAGCGGGGCAGGAATGAGCTCTAATGTGGCGAAAGCATAAGAAAACCGTTGCTGTCCTGCAGATGAGTGTTAGCAATACCACTACATTATCAATGTGGTGTTCTCTCTCAGCATCAGGACTCCAAGTGCCTGACCCTACCCACCGTTTTGCTGGTGCAATCATTCTTAGGACTGAGGTATTAGAAATTTTAGAAAGCTGCCATGTTCCCAGGTAAAAGCACAGGCCTTTGAAGCAGCTTGGTCCATTCACACATGCATGCATACTCCATGATTTACCACGAACTGCCTCCACTGAAAACAGAGCTGCCAGCTCTGTTCTGGGAAACACCTGGAGATTTGGGGGGTGGAACCTGGGCAGGGCAGGGCACAGTGCCATAGAGTTCACCCTCCAAAGCAGCAGTTTTCTCCAGAACTGATCTTGGTCACCTGGCAAGCCTAACTGGAAAACACTGGCATGTTCCAAATGCTATTACATCACCATTGGCTCCTGGCTACATTGAGTATTTCTGACCAAGCGAGAAAGGTACCCAAGTTGAACCATTACTACAGGCAAACGTACCTGATCTTGGCAGCAAACTATCAAGAATGAGGCCTCTGATTAATATCTTTGCCTTTGGTCATAGACAATAAACATCAAAAAAATTCATCTTGGTTAATTTATAAATAATGATTGTTGCATTGTAATGTCAGGAGCCATTCTGTAATATCATTTGTTTGAACACTGAGGAAGGCCAATGGGCTGAAACACGTATGATCGGGGTCAATAATGGTTATTTTTGGTTGTCACTGTACAATGTGATTCTTAATTGAGGCTATCACCAGGGCCAATATCTGTTTTGTAGTGCACTTTGTAATAAACAGATGTGTATTTTCACATATCTCTTAATATTTAATGTTTTTAACTTGACTAACAGAATCATTGGACCTATACCCTTAGATCTTCTTATCCTTTTTGGTTCTTAATTCAATTCAGCTTGGGTTAAGTCCCACCCCTTTTTGTTTTCAGTTATGTTCCAAATGCAGCAGTCATGGTATGCCACTACATGAATGAGTCTGGGGGGTATCCTCAAGTGCACTCAGTCTGTTTTTTTCCTCCCTCTCCTGTTTTAAGAGATAATATAATGAAAGACTTCTGCCATCAAAGCAAATTATAATTTGTCATCATGTTGGAGTCACCCAGCCATGGCTTGTGACTGCCCTGCAACTCAGAATCCCAAACCGTTGTTTACTCCTGGTTTAGAATCCTGGTTTGCAAGACCAAGTACCAGCCATGCTTTTGGTGATGAATGATGGTTTGCCACCAAAGCAGAAATGCTTAATCAGGCCGTGGGGGAGGGAGTACAGAAATGCCTCTGGCTTGTTTGTTCACATAAAGGTCAGCCATGGTTTGGTGTTACATCTGAACTAGGTCATTGCTCTTGAGATGATGGGATGAGAAAGACAAAGTCCATCTGTTAGCTGCAGGGGCTTGCTCACAAATGGGGTTGCCAACATCCAGGTGCAGCCTGGAGATTCCCTGGAATTACAACCAGTGTTCCCTCTAAGCTGAGTTAGTGTGAGCTAGCTCACAGTTTTTTAGCCTCTGGCTCACACATTTTTGTCTTAGCTCAGGAAGGGATGGCTCCAGAGCAAACTAATTTATGCAGCAGCCAAAGCTCCTGCTCACAGCTTAAATGCCAGTAGCTCACAAAGTGGAATTTTTGCTCACAGGGCTCCATAGCTTAGAGGGAACATTGATTACAACTTGTCTCCAGATGACAGAGATCAGTTCCCCTGGAGAAAAAAGGCTGATTTGGAGCATGGACTCCAGGGCAGTATACCCCACTGAGGTTCCCTTCCCTCCCCAAACCCTGCTTTTCCTCAGACCCCACCCCCAAATCTCCAGAAATTTCCCTGTCCAGTGTTGGCAACCCTAGGCACAGCCTGTGTTAAAAGGGTTTTAAAAGGAATACTGAGATAACCTACGTGAAACACTTTGGACACACTGTTTTTCTAATGCCCAGAAAGCACACCTTTAATCTTAGATATCATAACTTTCCCACCTCCCCCTTCCCACTACCCCAGAATATCCCCTGAAGCAGCATGGGAGGCAGTTTAGGCTGCATCTGTAGAAGGTCAAGAAAGTCATGCTCTGTGGGTAGAAATCCTTCCACACAGCCAAATGCTCTAGTGTATCCAAGTCATGAAGACTAATAGGACAAAGCACACATACTGGATGGGGGATACACTTCCGGGTAGCAGTATGTGTGAACAAGACCTTGGGGGTATGGGTGGACTGTAAGCCAAATATGAGCAGTCACTGTGATACAGCAGCAAAAAAGGCTAATGAGGTCTTGGGGCAGATTAGTCCCGCTGTACACTGCATTTTTCAGGCTGCACCTGGAGTACTGTGTGCAGTAATGGAGGCCACAACTCAAAAACGATGTGGAGAAAGTGGAGTGGGTGCAGAGGAGAGCAACAATCAGGGGCCTGGAGGCCAAGCCCTACAAAGAAAGGCTGAGGGACTTGGGAACGTTCAGTTTGGAGAAGAGGAGGTTTATTTATTTATTTATTGGGATTTTTACCCCGCCCTCCCCGCAAAGCGAGCTCAGGGCGGCTTACAAGGGGCAAAGCCCATATAAAACAAGGTAAAAGCAATAAAAACATTAATAACAATTATTAGGGGGGACATGATTGCTCTCTTTAAGTATTTGAAGGGCTGTCACTTAGGGGAGGGCAGGGAGCTGTTCCTGTTGGCAGCAGAGGATAGGACTCGCCATAATGGTTTAAAAGTATGGGCAGAAAGGTACCAGCTAGATATTAGGGTGTTTTTCTCCCAGTAAGTGTAGTTCAGCAAAGAAATCAGTTGCCCAGGGAGGTGGTGAACTCCCCCTCACTGGCAGTCCTTAAGCAGTGGCTGGACAAACATGTGTCAGGGATGCTCTAGGCTGATCCTGCATTGAGCAGGGGGTTGGACTAGATGGCCTGTATGACCTCTTCCAACTCTCTGATCCAATGATGGCTGACAGGATGGTTATATTGTGCTGGCCAAATCAATGTTATTGACAAATCAGTTCCAGTGTTTGTAACAGATTCAGAGCACAGCAGACATCAGTAAACAAGGTGGGGAAATGGATATTCCATTTAAATTATGTATTATATTATAAATACAGGTGAAGGGTATGAAAAATCCTGCTGTGGTAAAAGGAATATATCTGCAACTGTCTGGGGAATGTAGGGACTATTGCCAGGGGCTGCCGAAGAGAAGGAGGCTTGGGGAAATGGAAGACGAAAGGAAATACATTATCTGCAAAGGAGAACTAGAGGGCTGGCACCTCTGGCGGAGTTCATGCTTTGGCATGTGGAAAGTCCCAGGTGCCATCCTCAACGTTTCCAGTTTAGAGATTTTTTTAAAAAGGCTACAGGGGTGAGCAAGATCTTTCTGTGTCTGAAACCCTGCAGAGGCACAGTCAGCTAGGGCAGACTGGTGGCCTGACTCAGTATAAGGCAACTTCATCCGTTTGTGTGCGTATGATCAGATTGCATAGCTGCAGGTGCAGCCTGAATAGGAGCCGTGGAGCACCTGTCAGTATATGCAAAACCTTTACTGAAAGACCCAAGTCTGCTTCTCAAGAGGGACTGCAAGGCTGCAAGTCTACTGAACACAGTGGAGAAGGTCCGGAACGCTAGCATCACTCTGGCCAGCGGTAGCTTTGTCAGTCATAAGGGTTAGTAGAAAAGAGGCAGCTGGTGACAAATGTAATGTTGGGTAACTTCCCGCTGTAGGCTGGAGGACAAAGAGGCTTTTATCCTCTTTGCAATGGGAGGTGTATCTCAGCCTTGAACTAATCATCTCCCTCCCTGTCTTCACTAACAAACCAGCCTTTGAGCTCAGCAATAATTGTCTAAGGGTTTTTTTTCTCCTTGCTAAGCAACTCCCTCCCTTCCAAGGGAAACTGCTGGGCATACTCTTATCAGCTCTGTAAATGAAAAGTATGCAGAGGAGGGGTTTTTATTTTTAAAAAATTTAAGTTCCAGAACAAGAGGCTGGGCAAGTTGAGTCCTCAGATGTCTGTTTCTGTGTAGTGAGGTCCATAGGGAAAGTTCCCAACAAAGTATCGCAGGGCAGTGAAGGAAGCGGCGCCAAGACCAGTTTGAGAATTTCCTGGACCAGTGTGGGGGAGCGAGGGCTCCCACCTCCAGAAAAAGCATGGCAAACTAAAAAATCAGCACAGGGGACTGCACATAGACGCAGTTACCTTGTATTGGTTTCTGCAGGTTGGGGTGAGGAGGACACAAATAACAACCACTGCATTGTTCTTCTGGAATCCTTCCGGGGGCCAGCTCTGAGCTGGTGTTCCTAGAATAGCGGTCCCCAGGGAAAGGCCGGTTAAGAGCCAAGAGACAATTCCATTCCCTAGTTCGCAAAGAAACTGTAACAGCTTCCACTGTTTCTTGGGTAAGGCAATGAGGGTGAGGAGATGAACAAATTCTCCTTCTCCTTATCTAGTAGCAGCTGATAAGGACAACCTTGCTGTTATTTACAATTATTATCCTGTTTCCCACAGTGACCAACCAAATGGATAGAGGAAGCCTGCAAGCAGGGCGTGAAGGTAATAGCCCTCCCCCTACTGGTACTTCTCAGGAACTGATGTACCGCCCCTGAGCATGGAGGTTCTATCTAGCCATCAGCGCGGAAGGTCCCGTCTTATGATGCCCACTGGTTTTAAACAAATAAATATTTTAGTAGCAATTAAGAGGACTGTTGCTGATGGCACTTATATGAATAATGTCAAGTCATACCTCTCAACCTCAGCATTGTGGCTTTTCTTAGCTCCTCCTGGTCATCCATGGTGTAGGTGGGACAGGTTGTACAAAAGAGACAGGGCACTCTCTGTTACGTGGTTTGGATTGTGCCCTCTCTCCAAGGAGTTAAGAGGAATACACACAGTTCTTCCCTTCATCCTCAGGTTGAGAGGGATCTAAATAGAGATTTGAATCCAGCCCCCCTCCCCCCCCGTCATAGTCTGGTGCCCCAACTACTACACTTCACTTACTTTCATAGGGGCAGGAGTAATGTCCACCCTTAGCCCTATTCTCACTCCTAGAAAGACAACTTGTAGTGTTTACACCTGAAATTAGAATGTGGGAAGCTCCTATGGAGACATTCCCCAGCCGTAGGGTTGCCAACTCCAGCTTGGGAAAGTCCTGGAGAAATCTGAGAGGGGAGGGCTTAGGGAGGGGAGGGGGCTCAGCAGGGACATGGTGTCACGCAGCAGTCCACCTTCTGAAGCTGCCATTTCTTTAATCTGGAGATCAACTGTAATTCCAGAAGAACCCCAGCCCCCCACCTGGAGGTTGGCAACCCTAGCCCCAAGGCAGGTTAATCTTTCAAGAGAAAAAGTGAGCCATTTGCAGTATTTTTGGATAAGGGTGATGCTGAGGGATTCTGGGACCCAGGGCTTTTCCTGGGACCTCCCCAGTTCCCTCGAGTCCTTTCACTGGTTGGGTGGAGACTGGCAAGGGACTGACTCTAGTACAGAGAAAGACAGTCGTTCTTAAACGAAGCTCAGTTTATTCCATTATACACTCTTAAGACAGAAAACACTTTGTAGCATTTCATTTTCAGTATTCAGTGTAGCATTTCAATATTCAGCACAGAATATTTCAACCCAATACTTAAAATAGTGCACTTGTATAAAACTCAGAACATTCTGGACTAGTCATCGAGGTCTCACATGGAGCCTGTTGATGGCCAGCCTCATTAGTAAACCAGAGATATAGTATGTCTTTCTTGGACCTATAGCTGCTAACAAACTGACTGCTGTGCCCATCATGTAGGACTACTATGGATGTGACAGAAGATCGGACCCAAATCCCTCCCCCTTCTCTCTATCTTTGGGGTCAGGAAGCTCACAGAAAGTCAAGGAGAGTCAAGGAAGCTAGTTTCAGATACCCTCTTTTGATTCTGTTAGTGACACCACTAACTTCTGGAATGTATAAACATCCTCTAAGGCAAAAGTCATGTACAGAGTTATCTGTACCAGAAGGCCACAGCACCCGCAAAGTTCTGAAACTTCCTGGGAAACCAAACCAAAGATTCTACTATAGAGGCTAATTTACTGTAAAAATTAAGTATCAGGTTTAGCAGGGGGCTGAGGCTCAATCCAGGCCCTAATTCTACGACAGGTGAGATAAGTGGGGGTGCTGGAATCAGGGGTATGATGGACTGGCCATCGCAGAAAGACCTTTTGGCAGACATTTGGGGAGGTTCTGTGGCTCAGTGGAGGAGCCTGTGCTTGACATGCAGAAGGCCCCAGGTTCAACCCCCAGCATCTCCAGTTAAAAGGATCAGGCAGTAGGTGATGAGAAAGACCTGTGACCCTGGAGAGCTACTGCCAGTCTGAGTAGGCAATACTGACTTTGATGGGCCAAGGGTCTGATTTAGTATAGGCCGCTTCATACGTGTGACCTAGCAGCAAGGTGAGGGATGCTTGGTTGCTATCAACCTGTTTGCAAATTGTTTTGCCATTCCTATGAGAGCGAGGTATGACTGTCCCCCGATTCATGTTTAAATCAGCACAATCATTCTTTTTTCTTCCTCTTCTGTGTGCCAGTCAACAAGAACTGCAATTTGTATATATGGAAGTGCGCTGAGATTTGCAAATATGTGGTCGGTGTTTTCCTGCCTCCTTTGTGATGAAATGGAGAATGAGCATCATGTAGTGCCTAGTGTGTGAGATACAGGGAGATCTGGACTCAGACCCTCACTCTACCATGAAGCTGGCTGGGTGACCCTGATCCAGGTTTTTTTTAGCCTAATTTGTCTCATAGGGTAGCTGAATAAGTGAGCCTTAACTCACAAAAAGCTTATGTTGAGATAAAACGTGTTAGTCTTTCAAGTGCCACTAGTCTTCTGTTTTCTTTTGCTGCAATACACGAACACAGCTGCCTTTCTGGAATTATTACCATAGGGTAGGGGAGCTGTGAAAATAAAATTGGGGGGAGGGGACCACTCATATTTGGGGGTGGGGAGAGATCACCCAGAATTACAGCTGATCTCCAAACTACAGATATCCATTCCCCTGGAGAAAATGGCTGCTTTGGAGGGTGGACTCTGTGGCATTATGCCCGGCTGAGGTTCCTCTCCCCCCCCCAAATCCCATCCCCCATCCCCAAATATGCAGGAATGTCCCAACAAGGAGTTGGTAACCCTTCATGCACTCTCAACTCCTTGGAGGAAGATGGGATTAAAAATCTAATTAATAAATAAATTGCCGTAATAGGCTGTATTCTCCTGGGCTAGAGGAAGTGCCTGTCTGTCAAAGTGAGCAGTGACTCACAAAAGCTCATACCCTGCCACAAATTTTGTTAGTGTTTAAGGTGCTACTGGATTCTTGCTCTTTTCTATTTATGTATTTCGTTAAACATGTATGCCTCACCTTTCTCAAGTGGCTTACAATTCCATTTCCCCCCAAAAAACCCCCAGATATATGGTAAAACACCATCTCACCCCTCCCCAAGAAAATGGTTGCAGCTTCAACCCATGTAAAAGCCTTCATAACAACAACACAGGCCTCCTTAAAGCTTGTAAAGACTGTGGACCCCTCACCTCCTTGGGGAGCCTTTTCCACAATGTGGGAGCCATGACAGAAAAGGAAGAGGTTTTGAATACCCAGTGGGCCACCTTAAGTGGAGGAACAACTAAAGGGTGGCAACCAAAAGACCTCAGTTAGTGCTAGAGTTACTAGCAGGCCTTGAGAAAAAATATCCTGTCCTTTTAAGAGAGACTTAATGTGTGGAAATGGGCAAGTGAAGCTTTCACATCACCTGGTAAATAACATTCCATGAGCCTCCATTAAAGGAACAGGACACTTTTTCTCCAGGAAGCTGGCAACCCTAGGTGGTACAATTGCCACTGAGGCGAGTGCCCTGAGGAAGACATGGCTGCCTGCCTGCCTAGAAATAACAGGTGTGCCTCTGTGGTCATCCCAGTTTATTTATGTAGATTATGTCCCCCTCCATTACTGGTTCTGTATACTGCTGGTGCTGGGAAGCAGGATAGTCCCTACAAATTCCAATTTGAATTCTATCAATAAGAACAAGTTGCTGAAATACTGAATATTTGCTTCATACTTCTGGGTATTCATTTGTAAAGGGCGTCCAGACTCTAGCTGGTCTGGAATTCCCCTAATCTCAGATATGTGGGCCATAGAATGGTTATTATTCACAGCTGAAGGAAGAGCACTCCTCCCATGTTCACAAGCACTCTCTTCATTATCACTTCAGGTCTGGAGCCTTAGCATATGTTCTAGAGATAAGCCAAACTAAGCCCTGCCTGCATTTTCTGTTGTTCTGAAAACAGATATGGCTAAGTGAACCTCACCAGCATGCAATGTTCCTTTTTCTTTTCCTTGGCCGAAAACACCTGAAGTCTTACTTGGTCTGTATGTATTCCCTATTTCCAATTTGCTTTTTGTTTGTGAACCCTGAAGAGAAGTTCAGTATATCTAAGAGATCCTGCAGTATTGACTTTTCTTTCTCTGTGTGTGACGCTGGGGCCCGTCTTGACTGCACAAGCAATCCCAAAAGCGTTCATTTGAAGCAATACTATTTTTAGGGTCAATAAATTAAGTCACATGGAACAAGAGACAGTGCCTCCAGGTTCCTCCCTCCTTCAACACTGTGGAAGGTGCTAAGAATTTGTGGATCTTGCACAGCATGGGCAGGAAACCTGTTGTGCAGCTTTTCAACCATGTCGTTCAGCTTATTTGGACAGCAACATGCATCACACCAGCCCTGTGTGTTCAGGCTGGCCTTCGCATTGGGTCTAAATGGATGTGGCCTCAGAATGGGCTTGTAGCTCAAGTAGCAGAGCACATGCATGTTCACAAAATGAGTCCCAGCCTGGGAAAACCTCCTTCAGATCCTTTAGAGAGTGGCTGCCCGTCGGAGCAGACAATACTGGGCTAGATGGGCCAATGGTCTGATTTATTAGGTCATTTCACACGCTCATTAGGGAGTAGTGTTGCCAACCTCTAGGAGAGGCCTGGCAATCTCCTAGAATTCGAACTGATCTCCAGGGGACAGAGATCAGTTCCCAAAGGAGAAAACGGCTGCTTTGGAAGGTAGAGTCTATGGCGGGGGTGGTAAACTTGCCACACAGAATGAACGTGAAATGTTTGAGAGCCGCAAGACATGCACAAATATCACACACAGGTTTTTATTGAAAAATATGCAAATTCGCTTTTTGTTTACATTAAACTAGACTGTGTGAAAGAGCCGCATGCAGCTCCCGAGCTGCAGTCTGGCCACCCCTGGTCTATGGTGGCACTCTATCCCACTGAGGTCCCGCCCTGCCCCAAATGCCTCCATCCCCAGGCTTCACAATCCTAATTAGAGAAGAAGGTGTGTGGCAAGGAGAGGTAATTGGTATCCACTTTCTCTCGAAATAACTTCTGCAAGAATTTGATTGTAAACGGTGCTGTAGATTTACAAGCCATCCTGAGCCTCTGTAACAAGGTAGGTTAAAAAAAATCAAAATAAATTTTACTTTTTTAAAAAGACTTTGAATACCATTAGAGTAGCTCTCCATTTTTGTTTGGACTTTGGGAAGGCTGACTAGATCTTACAGTCTGCTTGAAAACGCCTAATGTGACCAAACTCCATTCCAGGGTGGGATCAAAGTTGTATTATTATTATTTTATTTTGAAGAATATCTAATTCCTGCTTATTCTTCCTCTCCTCTTCATGACGGACGCCTCTAATCCTGATTAACAAACTGTGGCTCAAGGAAAGAGCACAGACCCACATGCCCGCCTTGCCTGGCTAGACAAAGAGAGCAGGGGGAGGGGAATGGAATGCTAGGAATCTGCTAGGAACAGATAACCAATTTCCTGCTTATTCCTGAGTAGGCCCAAAGCTCGGGTGCTTGTTTGTGAGGCTGCCTTTGTGTAAATAGCAAGTTGGCTAACTGAGGGTGGCTCCTTCAGAGGAAAGGATCCTGGTGAGAACTGTCATGAATTTCCGAAGACATTTTCATCTCTTTTTAAAGAAATTGGCCACTAAGCGGAGTTGCTGTCTTTCCTTTTTCTAGCTGGTCTCCTGTACCCAATGAGGCAGAAGTAGAAAAGGAGAAGATTTCCTTATCTTTGTAACTTATCTCTGTACTTCCTGAGCAACTCATCTAGCATTTATAGACCTAAGTGCAGGGATGTTGCATGAGAGTTTTCAAAAGTGGGCACATCACGGCACCTTTCCCCTTCTTAACTAGGGTTGCCAACCTCCAGTTGGTGGCTGGAGATCTCCTGGTGACAAACATCAGTCCCTTGGGGGAAATGGCTGCTTTGGATAGGGTTGCCAGCTCCAGGATGGGAAATGCCTGGAGATTTGGGGGGGGGTAAGAATCTGAAGAAGGAAGGAAGGGTTTGGGTAGGGAGGGAACTTCAGTAGGAGTATAAATGTCATAGAGTCCACCTTCCACAGTGGCCATTCTCTCCAGGTAAACTGATCTCTGCCGCTTGGAGATCAGTTGTAATAGCAGGATATCTCCAACTACCACCTGGAGGTTGGCAACCCCAGGGGTCATTTGGGGGGGACGCGGGGGGACGCCATCCCCCCGGGTGAGGTGCGGGAGGGCGGGGCCTGGAGCTCCCTGCTGGTGCCCGCTGGAGGTCGCCGTCGGCTGTGGGGAGGACACACTTCCGGTGATGTCAGGGGGTGTGGCATATGCTAATGAGTCCCCCTAGCTCTTTTTCTATGAAATGACCCCTGGGCAACCCTATCTTTGGAAGGTAGACTCTGTGGCATCATACCCCACTGAAGTCCCTCCCCCTCTCTAGTCTCCACCCACAAATTCTCCAGGCATTTCCCAACCCAGAGCTGGCGACCCCTTCCATAACCATGCTGAGTTGTGTTTAATGCTCAGACTCAGAACTTCCATCAGTATAACGAGAATTATAGTGACCTACCTTGCAGAGTTGATGGGAAGGCGGCCCGACTGAGAATGTAAATCACTTTGCAAATTAAAAGAAACAAGTACTTGTCGTTTCCCAGAGTTCATCCGCATGTGCTTCTTCTATAGTTTTCAGTTGTATGAGTATTGTAGTCGTGACATAAGCCCTGGCAAGATAATTAGGATGCTGTTGTTACCAGCAAGAACTTACTGGATCTGGGAAAGGTTGCTGCTAACTCTACGTGAGGACATTCCTGGAGATTTGTGGGTGGTGCCTGGGGAGGACGAAGTTTGAGAGCCCAGCAGGGATGTGATACCACACAGTCCACCCACTCGAGATGCCGCTTTCTCCAAGGGTACTGATCTCTAGTCTGGAGATCATCAGTTGTAGCTCTGGGATGACTTCAGCCCCCACCTGGAGGTTGGCAACAATTGGGATCTGGGTCTTTTTCACCTTCAGGGTGGGATGAGCAGCATGGATTCTTTTACAAAGTGTAACACTCCAATTTTAGAGGAGAGATTCAAAACGTGGTATTGGTAGGCCTCATCAGTTATTGAACATTCAAAAATACATGTCCAAGATTTGAAATGATAAAATGTTAGGCTGACTAGATGCAAAGGAGGACAGTTTGTTTAGTACAGTTGTATCTATTTCTTTCTGCAGGGAGCTTGGGATAACATATCCGGCCATAGATCTCAAGTGTACATTCAGTGAGAACCTATTTAGAACTCCATATGTCTCTTTATGAAATCTGCAGTCTCAGGGTTGTGTCACAAACAAGCCAGAAAGTCCTGCCATTCCTCCCACTCCTTTTTTTTTAAAGTTTTTAATTTTTTATTGAGAGAAATGCAACAGAACAGCAAAGAAAAACAAAAATGCATTACAGTCAATCAGCAGGATATGAGGTGAAGACAGGACTGTAAAGTCCAAGAATAGACACGGAGTAAACAAGGTACCCCAACACAATCCACAAAGTAACCTTTGTATCCATCAAAACCAACCTAAAGTGAGTTTAATTTCAGCTCTCTTCATGAACAAAAATGGTGATTGAGCCTGAGAGAATCATAAAGTATTATTTTAGCATCTGACCTTTTTAATATGAATAAATAATCAAAAACGGACCCAAGGGATGTAGGAAGCCATTCCTCCCACTCCTGATATGAAGGCAATGGAACAAAGCATAGTATGTTAGTTCAGCCTGTTCAGAGGACACAAGAAACTGCGGTTTGTGTCACACCAGTCAGCCCCATACACCAAACCAATAAACTAGGGTTTGTTCTTTTGCTTCCAAATCAGGATTCTAAAACCTGGTTTACTCCCGACTTAGAATGTGTGCTTTGTAGGCAAGAGAACAAACTATAGTGCCATTTCACCCAAACTGGACATCACAAAAAATTGCACCTTATTCCAAATCAGGAGATTGTCAGCCTCTGTGCTATGAATGAATAGAAGAGTAAGCACTGCAGAGCTGAGAACTTCCTGGCTCATTCCCATCACAGGCAAGCCAGAGTTTATCCTTGACATATGAATGCAGCTCATCAAACTGGCAATGACCAAGTCTACTGTGATCTAGACATATCCATGAAGTCTCTCCGGCCTGGGTGGTTAATTAACATGAACTTGATTAATGGGTCAGAACTTGATTAATGGGTCGGAATTTGCACCAGCAGCTATAACTACTGATTTTAAATGCTTATAATGTAATGTTTTATTGTGTTTTAAACCTTATTGTATTATTTGAGATGATGTGACCCACCCTGAGCCCGCTCACGGGATGGGCAGGATACAAATACGAAAAAATAAATAAATAAATAATGGAACCAAATTTTTATCTCCCAGGGCTGCGGTGGCTCAAGTGGTTAAGACGCTGAACTGCAGGCTGTGGAAGGTCAGGAGTTCAGCAGTTCGAGACCCGGGTGCCGCATGACAGAGTGAGCTCCCGTCTCTAGTTCCAGCTCCTGCCAACCTAGCAGTTCGAAAGCAAGAAAATGCAAGTAGATAAATAGGGACTACTTCGGTGGGAAGGTAACAGCGTTCCGTGCGCCTTGGTGTTTAGTCATGCTGGCCACATGACCACGGAAACGTCTTTGGACAGCGCTGGCTCTTCGGCTTTGAAACGGAGATGAGCACCGCAACCCTAGAGTCGGACTCGACTGGCTTTCGAGCAAGGGAACCTTTACCTTTACCTTTTAAAGTAAGGAAAATGTTTACACAGATAAATCATGCATCTGTAAAGCTGAAGTTCAAATAAGTTTCAAAGATTCACTGCACGAAAAACCAGGGTGAGGGCAAGACTCCTGATTGCCAACTCTCAAAGAATTAATGCATTCAGCCTTCTCTTGTATCCAGTAAACCCCCGTTTATTTTCCAGGCACAGAAAAACTCCCAGCAAGATGTCCAGTAAGCGAGCCAAAGCAAAGACCACCAAGAAGCGCCCTCAGCGTGCCACCTCCAATGTCTTTGCTATGTTTGACCAGTCGCAAATCCAAGAGTTCAAGGAGGCCTTCAATATGATTGACCAAAACCGTGACGGCTTCATTGACAAGGAGGATCTGCATGACATGCTGGCATCTCTCGGTAACAAAGCAATGCCCCGTTCAACATGTGCTGGTGCAACACAGCAGCCAATAGGATGAGCTGAGACTTGGGAACTCCTAGCTTTGAATCTCTCACCTTGGCCATGAACTTATTAAGCAGTGCAACAAAAGTGGCTCTGTCTTAGTCTCAGCCCTCCCACCTTTTCAAAACGGGGAAATGATGATACCAAGCTGCTTCACAGGGTTGTTGTAAGGGTTATGGAGATAATGTATGTGAAGCATTCCAGACGATTTATAGCAGCTAAGTCTGATTTATTCTATATATTGTGCTTGGATGGTGCCTGGAATTGGCCATTAAGGAGGTCTAAGGTCAGGTCATGTGTGTGTACAGGAATCTGAGGGACACGCTTTAGCTGAACTGAAAAAAGTAGGGGAGGGGAGGGGAGCAATGCTCCCTCTAAGTAGTAGCAGTAGTAGTAGTAGTAGTAGGAGGAGGAGGAGGAGGAGGAGCCAGTTTGGTGTAGTGGTTAAGTGTGCGGACTCTAATCTGGGAGAACCGGGTTTGACTCCCCACTCCTCCACTTGCACCTGCTGAGTTGCACTTGGGTCAGTCACAAGCTCTGGCACAGCTGTCCTTGAAAAAGAACTGTTTGTGTCAGAGTTCTCTCAGCCCCACCCACCTCACAGGGTGTCTGTTGTGGGGAGGGGAAGGGAAAGGAGTTTGTAAGCCGCTCTGAGACTCCAAGTGAAGGGCGGGGTATAAATCAAATATCCTCCTCCTCCTAAGACGTGGAGTCTTGTGAGCAAAAATTCTACTTTGTGAGCCACTGGCGTTAAAGTCGTGAGCAAGTGATTTGGCTACTGCATCACTTAGTTTGATCTGGAGCCCTCCTTCCTGAGCAGATGAAAATGCACGAGCCGGAGGCTCAAAAACTGTGAGCTAGCTCACCCGAACTCAGCTTAGAGGGAGCCCTGGAGGGGAGGCAGGAACTGGTAGGCTGATGAGGTGCAAAGAAGTCAGAGCTCTTGCTTATTTAGAAGTTGGAGAAAAGAGAAAACTTTGGCGGGGCGGCTCTGAGGTCATGGCTCCGTAGCGCTTTGCCTGCAGAGGGTCCCCGGTTTATCTCCACTTAAAAATAAGTTAGGAAGTGTTAGGAACTTAGGAAAGGTCTTTCCCTGGGAAAGATGCTGCCAGTCAGAAGAGACAAGGCAGCTTCACATATTGCGGCAGTGTAACATGACAAACTATAGCTAGCCAAATTTCTCCTCCTCCATAACTGTTAAAAGAAGACCAGCTCTCATTTGCGTCTGGCCCCTGTACAAACTGTTGCTTCTCGAGTGTCCTCCGGTCCGTCCGTTGTACAAAAGAATGGAGGACAAACTGACCGCCAGTGTCTTGCATAGATCACAAAGTGTGTCTGAGCACAGGGGAAAGCCCATGCATAGAGTCCCAAATGTTCAGATTCTCACCTGGAGATGATGAAGCCAGAACCTTTTGCCTAGTCTGAGACTGAAGTACAGGCGTCTCCAACACTTTTGAGCCTGCAGGTGCCTTGGAGATTCTGACACAAGGTGGTGACACAACCGCAAAAAGTGGAGCCAACCACTAAATGTCAGGGACGGGAGGTTATGCCTAATTCTGATAGTAGCTCTTCGACATTTCAGGCAGAAGTTCTGTTTAATAGGAGGGAGGAAAACCAGTTTGGTGTACTGGTTAAGAGCACGGACTCTAATCTGGGAGAACCGGGTTTGATTCCCCACTCCTCCACTTGCTCCTGGCTGGATGACCTTGGGCAAGCTGTAGTTCTGATAAGAGCTGTTCTTGAAAAAGAGCAGTTTCTGTCAAGAGTTCTCTCAGCCCCACCTACCTCACAGGGTGTCTGTTGTGGGGAGGGGAAGGGAAAGGGATTATAAGCCACTCTGAGAGGGGTGGGGTATAAATCCAGTGAAGGGTGGGGTATAAATCCAGTCTCCTCCTCTTCTCTCTCACTCACGCCCACAGACACAGAGGAAGCCCAAGTTTGGTGTAGCCCAAGACAGCCAGTTTGGTGTAGTGGTTAAGTGTGTGGACTCTAATCTGGGAGAACCGGGTTTGATTCCCCACTCCTCCACTTGCTCCTGGCTGGATGACCTTGGGCAAGCTGTAGTTCTGATAAGAGCTGTTCTTGAAAAAGAGCAGTTTCTGTCAAGAGTTCTCTCAGCCCCACCTACCTCACAGGGGGTCTGTTGTGGGGAGGGGAAGGGAAAGGAGTTTGTAAGCTGCTCTGAGACACCTTTGGGTAGTGAAGGGTGGGGTATAAATCCAATCTCTTCTCTCTTCTTCTCTTCTCAAGTGCAAGGGAGAAGAGAAGCAATTTTAAAAATACACTGGGTAAGGAAAGTGAGGGGGAAATAAAACCAACACTGTGGCAGTGACTACCACTGAAAAGACTTTAAAAAAATATCCTCAGCTAATTAGAATCCCTGATGGACAAGAGCCTCACTTGGCACTGACAACTTCTAAAAACACTTGGCAGGCACCAGGGAAGGTGCTGGTGGGCACTATGGTGCCCGTGGGCTCCATGTTGGGGACCTCTGCTGTAGTAAGTTAAAGCCTTGCTTGGCACCATGGGTAAGGGAGAAGTTTCTCTCGTCTGCATTATGCTGGAGGGCAGGGGGATATGGAAGACTTCTGAATGAATGCGTTCCTCAAAAGTGTGTTGGTGCCATACTCAGACTCCTCTTTGTTCCCCTTCCACTGTATATCTCCAAGATGAAAGCTGGTAATGATTTCAGTAAGAATCAGGCAACCAAAAACTAAATGAATGCACACAAGGCTGCCTTATACTGAGTCAAACCCTTGGTCCATCAAGGTCGGTATGGTCTACTCAAGGCTGGCAGCTGCTCTTCAGAGTCTCACGCAGAGAGAGCTCTTTCACATCACGCCCCTGAAAATGGAGGTGAAAGTGATGGTGATCCCTGCATGTTCCAACACTGTTTAGTTTAAAATATTTGTACCACATTTGTTTCCTGATTCTCAAAGCGTGTGCAATAAATTTACTGAAATCTCAAAATGAATCAGAAATGACCTAAAACAACCATTAAAATGAAAACAATAGCAGTTACTATATGGATCTTAAACATTTTATTTACTTCATTTATACCCCACTTTTCTCACCAATGGCGACCCCTCCTCCATTTTAATCCTCACAACAACCCTGTGAGGTAGGTTAGCCTGAGAGTTTGTGAATAGCCCAAGATCACCCAGAAAACCTACACAGCTTCCTATAGGCATAATCTCAAATCCAGATAGACTTAATGTCAGCCCAGAATGTCTGGTATGGGATAAAAGGACCCCAAGTGAACATGCAGATCACAAATGTTGACCCGCATTCTGTAGACTTACTGAACCACTCCCACGGGCCATTACAAGGCATGCAAATACAACCTGGTTTGATTGAGATCGGGAGCATTGGGGAGGATAAAAGAAAAATGAATGTGTGAAAAAATCTTTGAAAATGGGAAGAAACTGGAAGACAGTGGGATGATACTGTGAAACATAAACACATGCTTTAAAGCGGATTTAAAAGGTTGCATTTCTATGTAAGACCACTAGAGGGCACTTGGTTATACACTTGTGTAAACAAAATAATGGCTTTTTCTGATGGTTTTTTTTGATGGACCCAATGAGCAATTTGGGACTAGTTCATCCAGAAACTGGACTTGGATGCGTGCACGTGACAACCTGGGCCACACTGGAATCCCTGTCCTCCCATTTATTAAATTAATGAGTTGTATGAACTTGGCAATATTTCTTCCATGGGGATTTTCCCCCTTAGCTTCCATTCCTGATTGGCTACCTAGCATTCTGGTTCCCTAAACCTTATCCCCAGGATCTGGTTTATGGGCAATTTAAAAGGAAGCTCCTAGGAAACTATCTTCCTACATCAGCAAGGGGCCCATTCACTTTTGTTTGTGAGAACAAGGTCAGAGGGGCATTTTATTGCCCTGGCTTAGCAGGGCAATGTAATGTTTATACTCCGGCTAGAAAGACCTTGTAGAGAAGAAGTAAATGCACTGCTAGGATGCAGTCAAGCCAGCTGATGTAAACACGGTGGAAACACTTCCTGTCATGCTGATCACTTATACAAAATTCAGTTATTCGAGTTTATGAACAACACACGTCTCATAAGCAAAGACAGATGCTCTGATGCAAGAGACTGGTCTTTGTTCAAGAGATGCCACAAGATTAGAGCAGCTGGTTCTCCAATAGTTGGGAGGGAGAGTGTAACTCAGGAGCACAGGACTTGTTTTGCATGTAGAAGGTCACAGAGTCTGTTCGAGGAGCTCAGCAGAGGTGCTGGAGAAGAGATTGTTCTCTTCTGGAGACTTAGAAGAGCCTCTGTAGACTAAGTTGGAAGGACCAAAGACCTGACTCAATAGCCCTGTTCACATGTCTGTGCATCCATTTATAAGGAAGAGCCCGGGTGTGTTCACTTCAGAAATGAAATGGGAAAGCAGTACCTGGATAAATGCAGTATTTAAATAACATTAACAGTTTTACGTGCACTGAATGTAATGAGAATTACTGAATGCACTTTTTTTTTAAAAAAATCAAGTGTATACTGTACATGCATGAACTGTTAACACGAACAGGGGCTAATACAAGGCAGCTTCATGTGTTCAAAATGGCAGTGAATTTCAGAGGGAGAAAAAAAGATAGGAAGAAGGGAATTCCAGGATTAGCATATCAGGGATATTTATGAATACTGGTGTGAAAATTAAGGAGTGGTATGAGTGTTGTGAGTTGTGTGTGTCCAAACGTGATTCTGTTCCAGTGAATAATTCCAGATGGGTAGCTGTATTCATTTGCAACAGAAAAATAAAACAGTAGTCCCATGGCATATCAAAAATATATTCCAGTTTTTGTGAGCCATGGTACGTAAAATGAGCTCTGACATGACAGCGTACGCTAAAATAAATCCTGTTAGTCTCTAAGGTACTACTCGATACTTGTTTTGTTCAATTTCACAATTGATTGTTGTATAATCGTGTGTTTTCTCCATATGCCACAATCAGAGAGAGGATGCTGGATGACCGGGAGTTGCATTGTCCAAAGCACATTCATTGAGAAAACTCACTGTTGAATTTAGTTTATCCACGGGATCAGCCATATGAGTCAAACCACAGACTAAAAGATTGAAAAAATCCCAGCACAGCAAGAATTATATGTTCTTTGGATGTCAATGCATTTATGTATTAACACTCTGCTTTTCTCCACAGTGGGGATCCAAAGCAGCCTACCCTCCTCCATTTTATCCTTACTACAATAACCCTGTGAGGCAGAGAACAGCTGACCCAAGGTCACTCAGCAAGCTTTTAGTTCATGGCCAAGTGGGGATTTGAGCCTGAGTTTCCTGGACTCTAGTCCGGTGCTCTTAACTGCTATACTCTAACTACTCTGACAACTATATCTTGGGGGAATCCTTCCCAAAAAAGGGGGATTATCATAGTTCCTGGCCTTTCTTCAAGGAGTTCAAAGTAGAGTACTATCTTGAATTCCTTGGAGGCAGATTAGGATTAATATGATAAAAGTAGGCACTAGCTAATACCCTGCAGAAAAACACGTCAAATACATACCTCAAAATCATCAGCAAACAAACTTCCATTTTGTACATTTTTGTCTGGAAGTATAATAAAGAACTGTGATAATCAGGGACAATCCTAGGCTTGGCAAGCCTTCTCAATATTGAAGCACCTTTGCTGTGACAAAATCCTAAATTTCTTGGAGCTTTTAAGACTAGAAAAATAGAGATGACAATGACAGAGATTGACGAAATTACAAATGGTATGGCACACAGAGGTTTTTCTCCCCCATTAGACCAGAACTTAGTGTCTGTGTAACCACTGAAATTGATGATCAGTGGATTCACGACAGACCAGAATTTTCTTCTTCACACAATTAATGTATGGAATTCACAATTGATGTATGGAATTCACTGCCACAAAAAATTACAATGGCCATAGGATTAGGCAAAGGCAGGGAAAATAAGTCCATCAAAGCCATGATGGTGAATGAAACCAAAGCTGAGAGAGGACCTATGTTGCTAAGTACCACTAGCTGGGTGGGTGAGGGGGAAGTCTTTTACCTTCATACCCTTCTTTCGAACTTCTTGTGTTTGGTCACTGTGGGAAGCAGGATGCTTTAGTCCTTGGACCAGTAGGAGTCTCCCGTCCCTTGCCAAATGTGACTCCGATGAGGTTACCTCACTCCAGTTTCAATTTCTGATTGTCTATTTTATCCTCTCATAAGAACAGAGTGCAGTAACCATGGCTTTTACTAAAAGGCAAACTAGGCCACTGAGACAAAAGACTAAACTCTCCCTGATTGAATCTTTCAGGGAAGAATCCCACAGATGAGTACTTGGAAGGCATGATGAGTGAAGCGCCTGGGCCCATCAACTTCACCATGTTCCTCACCATGTTTGGGGAGAAGCTGAATGGCACTGATCCAGAAGATGTTATCCGAAATGCTTTCGCTTGCTTTGATGAGGAGGCCACAGGTACAGTCAATGCAGATCAATTCTCCATGGCAACTGGAAACACTAAGTTAAGCTTCAGCAAGTAGCGATAAGCAAACATACTGTTGTTTCATGAGAAACTCTCAGACCTGGGACTCTTGCCTTATCCCTTGGCTGTCTGTGTGAGAAAGTGTTCTGGGGAATTTGAAAGCTTGGACAATATTTTGTGTTTCTTTTAGTTGGTCCTAATAAAAGGTAATTAGTGGTTTGGCCATGATGGCCACTCGGACTTCTCCTGGTGGGATGATGATGACTCCCCATCTGGGCTGCATCAGCCAAATGGCAAGAAGGGTTGATACACAAATCTGCCTGCGTGCTCCCATTGCCGAATTGGAAACACACGGAGTCCGAGTTAGATGAATATCTGTTTAATGCATTGAAACAGGGAATACAGGGCTGAATACCTTAGCACTTCAGCAATTCCAAAGCTGTATTCTGCCATAACCAGGAAGGGCAGAAGATCTTATACCCCAAATGACATCACATATCGTTTACACATTAAAGATTGCCCTGATGAGTGCCCCAGCCCTCGGGCTCCCGAGCCGTGTGGGGAAGCAACATCAGGCCTGCCCACATGAGGAGGTGCCCAACCTGCTGGATGCCTGTGTGGCCAAGGGAGGTGGCATCCAGCATGCCTGAAACCTGCACAGCCTGGGGAGGTGACACCCAAAGCCTACATAGGGGGGACTCCGGAGCCCTGGGCAGAGCTTGGAAAGAGGTGGCCGGCTCAGCAGACAGGCTGCCTCTTCCTCCCTTCCTCCTTGAGGGAGACGGGGCCTTTTCCAGGGGCCTTTTCCCATCTGTCCCTGTAAGAGATACCAAATGGTTTTCCTTTTTGGAAGTTGCTTTGGACCAGCACAATTACCTGCAATCTCTGTCTGTAAAACAGCATTCTGTTGGTGGGAATGGAGGAGGCCTGATTTCTGTCTTTAATGCAGCCCCCAACTCTTTTGGCCTGTGAGGAATCCCTTCCTCCTAGCAGCAATTTTAAGGGGTTAAAAGGGGATGCTAGAGGAAAGGCAAGGAATGGAAAGATCTGTTTCTGCTAGTGGAACAGCAGAAAAATAAACAAGAATAATAGTGATAGATTCCCTTAAATTGGAAACCACACCTGCAGGAGTGGGTAAGTCAATGAATACTATGAGACAGACATTTCGTTTCCTGACTTAACCTCACAGTGAACTAAATCAAAATCTAAAGTGTAGTCCATAAACCTGTTCCTATGATCATGAAAGCACATCTTCATGTGGCTGTCTTGTTCAGCTGGGCCTCAGCCTGGAATAGCAAAGACACAAAGAATGAGTTAATGAGCTCAGTCTGGGAAGATGAAGGACGGCCTCGGGTTAGAACTGCACCTCAAAATGAGGGTGGGCAGTAGATGCTTCTCGGATCCTAAGGCAGGAGTAGGATTATTCAGTACCAGCCAGTAGATTATTTCAGGTGATTTGTGAAAGAGTATCCCATGGATCAGATCTGTTTCTACGCCACTGTTAACGGCACCCAAAATCTGACACTTAAAATGGCCACTTCACATTTTCTCATGGAAGGAGCTGTCTTCGACATGATCCTGCATTAATCCAGACTTTTTTGGGGGGGGGGGATTTCCTCCCCTTCCTTTCTTCCAATATCTCCACAGGTTTCATTCATGAGGATCACCTGCGTGAATTGCTCACTACCATGGGCGACCGGTTCACAGACGAGGAAGTTGATGAGATGTATCGAGAAGCCCCCATTGACAAAAAAGGCAATTTCAACTACGTGGAGTTCACCCGTATCCTGAAGCATGGAGCCAAAGACAAAGATGATTAGAATTAAGAGAGAGTCCAACGTTTTAATTGCCATTGTCCACGCCCAAGCCCAGGCCCCCTTGCTGCTCCTCGAAGGTCCCCTGCCATCATGCTCCTGTGTCAGTAAGGGCAAAGGCTTTGAAACATTTCAGCAGATCAAGCGCTAATTTAAAGGAAGAATACACATTGCAAGTTTGTACACCTGCACCTCCCTACACATACAGATCATATTGGTCCTTTGTTAAGCTGCTCCTTGATTCTGTAGGTCCCATGGAATAAGGTACTTTGATTTCCCCTCTCTCAAAGGGTCTAACTGCATAGATTTTGCCAAAGGAGGTAGAAGATACACTGGATTACCAGATGATCTGGCACTGTACATATATGACATACAATCACCCAATGCTGGTTCCAGTATAATCTAAGGGGGTTTGCGGAGATAGCGCTTATATAGCACTTTTTTTCCCACTTGCAAAGTGGTTTACAGTGCAGTCCTGAACAGAGTTATATCCTTCTAAATCCACGGAGTCAACAGGCATGGAAACTTTGTAGGACTGCACTGTTGCAGTCCTTACTGTTTTCTCATTAGCACTACTCTATGATTTTATTCCCATTGTATAGCTGGGAAGCTTGGACAGACATTTGCCCAAGGTCATAAAATAACTGCAGAGATGAGACTTGAACTCAGGTCTCCCAAAATCTAAGTTTAAATCTTTACAGGCTGTAGCACATTGGCCTTCACCAGTACTACTTTCTCTCAGAACTATATTGAAGCTATTTCAGCACTCACTGGGAACCAATTCAGGGGTTGTTTTTCCACCCTGGTAGGCCTCCTGCTCTCTGTACATGTGCACAAAAGAACACCTTTTCACCTGAGGATTTGCAGAGTGCACAAACATACTTGTGGAAAAGAATTTCCCTTGATTCCCTCTTATTCTCTACTTCATCCCAAATACATACAACCACCCACACCTTGAGAAACATGGTCCATGGAGGTACTTATTGGATAGCTGGCTACCTGACAAAAAAGCAGAGCAGGAATATCAATAAATAAAAGTTCACCCTCTTGTTTATAATTATCTTGAGGGTGAAAACCTTGCTTTGGGGGGTAAAAAAAAGACTAGATTATTTTTTTCAGTTTTAAAAAGTACAAATCTTGGAGTGCTATAGAAGCCCTTGTTCCATAATCCCTGCTAATTAATTAGCTCTGGGTTGGGAAATTCCTGGAGATTTGGGGGTGGGGCTTGAGGCATTCCCAGTTTCTCCTGGGAAACTAATCTCTGTAGTACGGAGGCCAGCTGTAATTCTGCGAGATCTCCAGCCCACACCGAGAGATTGGTAACCCTAGAACTGCCTGTAAAGCTGTTTGCTGTCAGTCAGACCAAATCTCAAGAAAATGAAATGGCATATAAAGGGTACAATGCAAACATACTTCCAGTCTGTATGTGGCCTCCTTCATAATGTAGCTCAATTAGCTTTGGGAAGGTTAACACTGGAAAAACCTCCCTTGGCTCTGGCACAGCTTCTCCTCTGGGCCAATTTTATGGTCCTCCCTATACATACCTGAACGGAATACTTCATACCCTGAAGCTAAGGACATTAGGTAGAGCATGCCTAATACAATCCAAGGAAAATCAGACACACCCAAGACTAAACCTTGCTGAAATTCACAGGACTTAAAGGAATATCCAAGCGGCTGAATTCCATCCAATTTTGATAGGATTGTGCATACCTGGCTTTCTCAATCCAGTATCACCAGAATCAAGATTTACGCCATGCATTTTCCCTAAGAGATAAAAAATCATGCTACACCCAAACTAATTTTTAGCAGGAACCAGATTGTATTGAGCAAAGGCCCATGGGACAACAGGGCTCCACCCATGATTCACTCTCACCAGGAGAAGGAGATAAGTGAACTATTTAACTCTTTCCTCTCCAAAGGGAATGTTAGCATCAGCATTGTCACCTTCACTAATCTGTCCATACAGAACAAGAGCTTCTTGAGCATCACCTAGCTACCTCATGTAATGGCTTGCACATTGGGTTGCCAGCTCCAGGTTGGGAAATGAGATTTGGGGGGAGGAACCTGAGGAAGGTGGGGTTTGGGGAGGGGAGGGACTTCAACAGGGTATAATACCATAGAGTTCCCCCTCCAAAGTGGCCATTTTCTCCAGTTGAACTGATCTTGGTCACCTGGAGATCAGTTGTAATAGCAGGAGCTCTTCAACGACCACCTGGAGGTTGGCAACCCGACTTACACAGAGAAGTAAGAGTTGGGAGAGGCTGCTTGGGAGTGGAGACATAATAAAAGGGAAGCATACAGAGTGTTTGCAATTTCATTCAAGATACCTCCTTCCTCTCTAGCTTTTGGCGCTTTTTACTCCTGTCACCCCACCCCCAACAGTTTCCCCAATCTTTTTCAAGATTCTTGGGGAAAATTGCAAAGACTGTACTGCCAAGTCTTCCAGCAGTGAATTAGCACCACACTACTTCTGTCCATCTGTGTACTGTACAGTGGTTGAAGCATTTCCAGCAGCAATTTCAACAGCAGTGCAACATATTCATAAGTGGCTCTTGCCATCAGCACAGAATGCGATCAAAATGTCTCAATCTAGAACTGACTCCATTATCAGAAGGGCTACTCTGATTTAGCAGAAAAATGGCATGCTAGCAAAAATTAATTAACCCCCTCACATCATGTTATTGTAGCAGACTCTGAGTCTCTGTGAAAAAAACTTATATGAAATCCTGTGCAAAAGCTTGTCAGGACTGCATTCTACTAGCAGTTTTTGGAGTCCAGCTCACTAGTTATACATACTGGTTACATTGCCACATAATATGTCATTCTTAATCTGCTTCTATAATCCTCACAAGAAGTAAGAAGCATAGCCTGAAAGAGATAAACTGTCTCTTTAGGAGCAAGTGTTTACAAAGAAAACCAAGTAGCTGTTAAGACACATCCTGTTAATTGTGGTCTCTATGGTAGTTTATAATGATTTAAGTACATAGTAGATAATTACATACATTTCTTTTAACAGTAATTAAGGAACAAAAAAACCCCCCACAGGATAGAGTTAATAACTCTTGTAGTTACCGGATAGAATCTAACAATCATAACTAGGCATTTATACACTGCCAAAATTGGGCTAGATGTTTAAACAAAATAAAGATGTAATGTAGTCCTGCCTATCAAGACAATTCATGTAGATTACTTGAAGAACATTCCTCCATAATGAAATTAAAGTCCAGTTTGTGGAATGTTCATGTTTTATATATTTAATTATTTATACCGATACCCTGCTTTCCCCTCCAATGGGGATCCAAAGCAGCTTACATCATTCTCTCCTCTATTTTATCCTCACAACAACCCTGTGAGGTAGGCTGGGCCAAGAGAACAACTGTTCCATGGCCACCCATCAAGCTTCCATGGCAGAACAGGGAATTTGAATATGTGTTTCTAGGGTTGCCAGCTCCAGTTTGGGAAATTCCTGGAGACTGGGAGGTGGAGTCTGGGGAAGGGAGGGACTTCAACGGGGTAGAAAGCTATAGAGTCCACCTTCCACAGTGGCCATTTTCTCCTGATGAACTGATCTCTGTTGCTTGGAGATCAGTTGTAATAGAGGGAGATCTCCAGCCATCACCTGGAGGTTGGCAACACTACATGTTTCCCAGATCCTAGTCCGATACACTACATATGACATGTCCATACTCAATTTCCCATGCAAATGTATGTTGAAAGAATGGAGAAAGTTTACTCTTTTCGTATCATGTTTGTGTGGCAGGATGGCTAAAAAGTTTAACAAGTAACTAAAGCATCACCCAGGCTCCCTCTAAGCAAGCAAATAAAATGGATACAAATCAGACATGAAAAATGGAAACATTCAAAACCCAGTGAGGCAGCATCCAATCTCCCTGGACATTGGGGGGGGGAGGACAAGAGAAATTCTGGCATGAATTGGAATTCATACACAAGCTTTATTCTATCCGTTTATGCTCAAAGAGAATGGAAGTGGTTAGTCCACTTCAGAAAATAATTGTATGTCTGCTCTGACAATTCATCAACAGTTGGGAATGATGGAATCATTTATTCTTTTAACTGCTGTTTTGGCATTTTCCTCTCCACCTACAGTCTTTGATGTCTTTCTCTTGGATTTTCTCATTTTAAAGATTAGCTCTCACCCTCTCTTCCACCATTCTATGGTGTGGGTGTGTGTGTTTCTGCCAATTATTTCCCTGTTTGTTGGCCCTGCAAGGCAGCTGATTGGCCACGTGAAACAGGTATAATGGACTACTGGTGTGCTCCAGCAGGGCACCTCTTGTATAAAAGGCTAGCCATGATCCCAACAACTCACCTTCTACCTGATTGGGCTAGCCTTTCAAGGTCATTTGCATATGCGGGCTGATTGGGCCTCACTCTATTCTGGTCAACCCCTCCCAGCTATTCAGGACACAGAGGTCATTTGCATATGCTGTCTGATTGGACCTCGTCTCCAACATTCTAAACAGTTTGCTGTTGGGAGTCATTGAATGTGTCCTGAGGTAAAATACATCTCCCAATCTGCCCCTAAATGTTCACTGCTGTTGCCAATCTCCCTGTGGGGCCTGGAGATCTCCCAGAAATTACCACGTTTCCCAGCTACAGCACATTATTTTCCCTACCCAGCTATTACAACTGATCTCCAGATGACCAAGATCAGTTCTCCTGGAGACAATGGCTACTTTGGGCAGTGGACTCTATGCCGAGGTCCCCCCCACATACCCTGCCCTCCCCAGGCTCTACCACTCAGATCTACAAGTCTGCCCCTCCCCTTAGTGTTACCAACCTCCAGGCAGCACCTGGATATCTCCAAAATCAGTTATCTGGGAGAAAATGGCTGCTTTGGGCACTGGACTCTATGGCATTATATCCTGCTGAGGTCCCTTCCCACCCCAGACCCTGCCCTCTCCAGGATCTACCCCTCAAATCTACACATATTTCCCAACCAAGAGTTGGCAACCCTGTAAGTGGCTACAGAACCACTTTCCAGACCCTTGGACCCCAGAAAACATGGCATAGGAGGAGATGCTTTTCTACCTTAGCTGCCACTGCATAGCCCCAAATCAACATAAGACAGGGGTGGAGTGAACCATATCTGTTACCATGTGGCTTTCCTCCCATACTACCCACTTGGGGCAACAAAATGACTTGAGACAGTCCTGCCTTATGGCTAAGCAGAAGGAAATAAACATGGCTTGCCTCCCTCTGTTTTCCCTTTCCCTCCACCGCCGCACCCGTGACACTCACCTGAAGCTTCTTTCTAGAGCTAGTTGTATTTCTTCCTACAATAGGACTTACTCCTAATGTTCTTATATCTCTGATGAAGAGAGCTCCCTCTGATGAATAAGCTAGTTTGTCTACAAGGTGCCATAAATTCCCTTGTTGTCTTGTCTATAACAGACCTACACCACAGTATGTGTTCTTAGAATGCCAAAACAAAATTTGCCACCATCCCTGCCCAAAAGACTACCCAGCTGTATTAGGCAGATGAGAAACCAACTGATAATGAGCAAAGTTGACACTATTCATTATATACAACTTTTATTTTATTGTGAAATTCTGGAGAGCACAAATAAGGTTTCCCTTCCACCACTACTGTCCAGGCCAGATTTTATTTTCAGTAAAGTTCACCTACCCTTCAACCTAGTCCCCTGCCCCTATGCCTTTAACAGCAACCAGGTGAAGCTCTTCCTGTCATTTAGTATCCATCCCTTAAAAAGTTTCACCTGCTTAATTACTTCATGTTTTAATTGCTAGAGGCACAGAAGTGTAGCAGCACCTTCAAGTCTAACCACATTTATTCCAGGTGGGTAGCTGTGTTGGTCTGAAGCGGGAGAATAAAGTTTTAGTTCAGTGGCATAGCTGAAGAAGTGCACTTGCGTGTGAAATACCGTAAATAAAACTTTGTTGGTCTTAAAGGTGCCTTATCAGATTCTGACTCAGGAAAGATGATGCTGGAATAAATTGTACCCCTAGATTTCCACATAATTTTGCCACTACAGACCTACAACAGCTCTGGTGTTAAAGGTAGGATAAGAATAAAAACTGGCAGTTTTAGCAGTATAAAGATGGATTAGTGGCCAGCAGAAGACAGAGCAGTATAGAGTGAATGTGGTTAAGTACAGAGTAATGTCAAGAGAGAGAGAGAGCAGAGACCAGAATTTTAAGTTGTAGTTCACCCTTTATCTCCCTATGAGAAACAGCTACAACTGTTCAATTTCTGGTTGTC